CTGGCTTGGGCTTTTATGAAATGCTTCACTGCAGAGGAAATTCAGGATGGCTCTAAGTGTGGGGGGTGACGGAAACGTTCCCTAGACTGATGGTGCTACTCATTTAGAACATACCCGGGTCTCCAGTCACGACGCTGTGTGCTCCTTAAACACATACGATTTTGTCAGACTCAGTAAAAAGTGAAAAAACAAAGCTAAAATGGTGGAGTAAAACGAGCAGCAAATGGGCCAGGGATATAGCTCAGTGGCGTGGTGCCCGCCTGGCAAGTGTGAGGTCTTGAGTTCAGTTCCTGGTTTAAAAAAAATAAAACCAGGAGCAAAGTACAGCCTTCTTCAGGGTCTGGATTTGAGACATTTCAAAAACACCTGGGTGAAGAAAAGAAGTAGGTTTCCAGGACATGGGAGGAAGCTGACAGGAAAACTAAAATGTACAGAGAAGCTGGAGAGAAAGTACAATGCACAGAAAAGAGGGAAGCAGCCTGGAAAGCTCCTCCGCTTCTGGGGAGAGGGGACCTGTCTCAGCCGGCACAGCCAGCTTGTGTGGCTTGCAGTGTGGTGCAAGCTTCTGTGGTTTTTTATTTTGCATTTCACTGGTACACATTGGCAGTACATATGATTACGTACATTGTGGGGAGTTGGTACATGCACATAAGACACCTTGATTCTTTTCATGTCCCCTGCTTTTATGGTTCTGATGCTATATCAACATCTAGTTTGCCTTGACTCCATCATTGTTGCTGATTCTGTTGTTGTTGCCAGGGTGGTATACTTGTAGTGATTAATTGGTTTTTACTGTATGACAGTAACTGGATTGCCTTTGTGTCATTATCAATACTTCAGTTCATTTTTCTTTTTTCTTTTTTCTTTTTTTTTTTTTTGAGACAGGGTCTTGCTATGTAGTTCAGGCTGGCTTTGACTCTGTGTAGTCCAGACTTGCCTCAAACTTGGAGCAGTTCTCCTGCCTCAGCCTCCCAAGTGCTGGAATTCCAGGTGTGTACCACCACACCAGGCAGTACTTCAGTTCATTTCTGGAAAACTAGGTGCTGTACCAATCACACTGCACCCTCCCTAAGTTAACAGAAGTGGCCAGATCTTGGGAGAGAGGCATAAGCCTATAGTTGGCCATGCCTTGAGTATGTCCCTGGAAAAGAGATCCTCATATTAGCAACAAAGTCTTTTCACTACAATTGACCTGAGCCGGATGTGGTGGCACACGCCTATAATGCCAGCACTTGGGAGGCTGAGGCAGGAGGATCGTTGTAACTTCGAGGCCAGCCTGGGATACAAAGTGAGTTCAAGGCCAGCCTAGACTGCATAGTGAGACTCTGTCTCAAAAAGACAAAAACCAAACAAAACAATTGACTTGAAACCCTCAGCACAAAACAATAGGACCACCAGAAGACAAGGCAAAAACATACCTTCAGAAACTCCCAATTTGCTCAAAGCTGATCTGTGGGGAATTGATGGGAAGGAAATCAAAAGCCAGACAATTGAAACTTATGAAATGATTAAAGGAGACCAAAAAATGAGGTGCTTGGAGAGTTCAAAATACTAAACAGATGATACACTTAATGAAATGATGAGAGAGATTACAGTAGATGCTAATAGAAAGCTAGATGAGCTAATACCAGGCATGGTGGCGCATGCCTATAATGCCTGCACTTGAGAGGCTGAGGCAGGAGGATTGCTGTGAGTTTGAGGCCAGTGTGGGCTACACAGTTCAAGGCCAGTCTGAACTACATAGTGAGATCCTCTCTAAACAGCAAAAACACTAGCTGAGCAAAATAAAATGATAACATGAATGACCACTTTAGCAAAGAATTAGAGTCCATGAAAAGATACCAAACAAAATCCAGGAGAATAAAAATTCTATGAGCAGCAGAAATGATCAGTGTGTGGGCAGAATGTCAGAGCTAGAAGACAGAGCTGATGCAGGTGACTGTATACTTAGACTCATTAAAAACAATAACATTGTCTAGCATGTGCTAGACCTTGGATTCAGTCCCCAGTACCGTAACAAAAACAAAAGAACATGGAAAATGGATCCAACAGTACCTAGATGATGAAAAGATTAAGATTAATTGGAATGAGTGAAAAAAATCAGAAGATAGCATAAGTGACATAAAAACCTGTTTACTGAAAATTTTCCAAATTAAAAAAAAAAAACATACTGATAAGTGAAGCATATAGAATCCCAAATAGCCATGATCAGAAAAGAACCTTTCCATAATGCATCAGCCAGAATCCTGGAAGTCCAACACAAGAACAGAATCTTAAAAGTGGTTAGAGAAAAGCAGTGTATCAATTAAGGTAAACTCATTAGAATCAGCAGATTTTGCAACACAAATCGTAAAGACCATGAGCTTAGAGTGAAGTGTTTCAAGCCTTAAAAGAAAACAGCATCTAACACAAACTGATGTAACCTATAAAACTATCTTTTAATGGAGAAATGAGATCTTTCGATGACAACACATCAAGAAACTCACGATCACTAAACCAGCACTACAAAAAATTCTCAAGAATATGTGCTGTAGCTGGGCATGGTGGCACATGCCTGTAATCCCAGCACTCGGGAGGCGGAGGTAGGAAGATCACTGTAAATTCGAGACCAGCCTGCCCTACAAAGTGAGCTCAAGGCCAGCCTGAACTGCATAGCGAGGTCCTGTCTCAAAAAAGACAAACAACAACAACAACAACAAAAAAAAACAAGACTATACACCATGACCAAGTGGGATTCATCCCAGATATGCAGGGATGGTTCAACATATGCAAATCAGTAAATGTAATACACCATATTAACAGAGCCAAGGACAAAACCCATATGATCATCTCAATAGATGTAGAAAAAACATTTCACAAAGTCCAACACCTATTCATGATAAAAACCCTACAGAACTTAAAAATCAGGCCCCCCAAATTTAAAGACCCAATCCAAAAATGGGCATCCGAAATAAGCACTTCTCAGATAAAGTACAAACAGCAAGTAAATATATGAAAAAATGTTTAACATCACTGGTCATTCAAGAGGTGCAAATTAAGCAATGCTGAGATTGCATCTTACCCTGGAAAGAATGGCTATCATCAAGAAATCAACCAATAACAAATGCTGGAGGGGCTGTGGGCAAAAAGGAATTCTCCATTGTTGGTGGGGGTGTAGACTGGTGCAACCACTGTGGAAATCAGTGTGGAGAGTCCTCAAAAAACTAAAACTAGAGGTTCAATCTAACCCAGTTGTTCCCCTTCTAGATATCTTCTCAAAAGAGTTAAAAGGATCATATTGATAGAGGGGGAATGCCAGATGTTAAATACACTGAGTTTGTGTTCCTCGAAGTTGAAGAATGAATTCTAAGAAATAGTGGATGTTAAGAGTAGGAAAATTTAGTGGAGAAATGGAATGGGGAATAGGAATGTGGAATAGAAATAGCTCCTGAGAGGCAGGAGGGGTCCCCAATGGCTTGCCAATGAGCCCACCTCTCGAAGGAAGTTTCTTAGAGCAAAATCATGAGGCAGGTACAACGTGGGTCAAAATTATGATCAACCGATAAGATCGCAAGTATAGTCACTTAGGGAATATTGGTCCACTGGTAGCAAGGGTACATGGGTGACACCATTAACCTTGGGCAACAATCTGTAGTCTTCACCTTGTTGTTAGATTTCACAGTCTTCGTTTTATAGTCTTAGCAGGTGGGAGAGGATGGCACACCCCTAATGAGATAAGGGGAAATCCCAAAAGGGTGATACCAATAATCCCACGCCTCATCCACCCCTTAGGGAAGTGTATAAAATCAGCCATTTTATACACGTCCAGTCACAGTCCTGATGGATTCCTTTTGCACCGACTGCCTACTGTATTGGTATCTGACTTAGCTGTCTAGAATAACATCACACTGATCCATGCACACCCATATTTGTAGCAGCACAATCTATAATAGCTAAATCTTGGAAACAGCCCAAATGCCCATAAACGGATGAA